TCGTTTGTGTGTATAACACTGAGGTGTGAGGCGTCTCTTGATTTGTGCGTGCTGGGAAAACCTTCTACAACTAAGCTACACTCCCCATCTTAAAATTTTGAGGTCTCAAATTTAGACAATGCTATATCAATATTCTTTTGTCTCCGTGTCAAAGCATTTCTAAAATTACTTTATGCAATACATATTATACTTTAATAAACTAGTAAATACCTAGACGATTGAATACCTTGAAATGATAAGAAACAATGACTACATAAAGTTGTACAGACCAGACAGGTGAATCTTACTGTAATGAGGTTAAAAAGTATGAATCTGTTTCTACCAACAGACGTAGATTTTGTTTTATCTTGTTTTTGTTATTTGTTTGTATTTTGAGACAAGGTCTCCTTGTAGCCCCAGTTGGCCCTGATCTTGCAGAGAACCACCTGTCTCTGCTTCCTGAGTGCTGGGGTTAAAGGCACGTGCCACTACTCCTAGCTTTACCAACAGACCTAGAGATAATCTTTATTCAAATTTTTTTGTATTCTTTTTATTTTGGGGTATATGAGTGTATTGCCTGCATGTATGTGAGTGCACCCACGTCGTGCAATGCCCACAGAGGTCAGAAGAGGTGTTGGGATAAGTCAGGAGTGCCTGGAATGTAGAGCATGGCTGCCAGTTCGGAGACCTCCTAGTGAGGATGGCAGGAAACTGGCCAGCTCCATTCTAGATACTCTGTCTCTTACCCAACAAACCCCAAGAAAAACTATTAAGTCTCTAATCCTTTAATCCTAACCGGGTCTCTTGTAGATCATGTGACCGGAGGACAGGACAAAGACCACATAGCCTTAGAAGCCCCCTCCCTCCACCTGCCTGCCTTCCAGAAAACCAACTCCACCTCTTTGCCCACAAAACTTTCCTATATAAAGCTCTGCTTCCACCAAAATAAATGAGCTGTCCACTGACACAGCCTCACAGGTATTTCTTCCCACCATGATTGCCGCTGCTGGAGGCCCCCCTTGCCACATGGATCTCTCTCCTCGCTATGACCTTCCGCAATGGGCACTGGCAAGCAACGGTCTCCTGGTGGCAGTGGAGTTCGGGCCGAGGGGAGGCCAACAAAGAGGGCATCAGATTCCCCTGGAACTGGGGTTACTGATAGTTGTTAGCTGCCATGTGGGTACTGGGAATCGAACCCAGGTCCTCTGCAAGTACAGTCAGTGCTCTTAACCACTAAGCCATCTCTCCAGTCCCCTAGATGTTATTTAAACAAGCAACCTCATCTAGACTCTCAGCTCTTTCATAGACTGCAATGAATGTTAATCTGGCTCAGATTCATTGAAATGAGCTGATAAATTCCAAATATTATCACCTGAAAACCCTCCATCAAGCCAGGTATGGCAACATCTGTGTGCAGTCTCAGCTCTCAGAAGCCTGAGGCAGGAAGCTGATGCCACCCAGAGCTACAGAGTGAAACCCTGTCTCAAAATAAATAATTTCATTGTATTTGAATCCTCCCTTGTACCCATTCAACTCCTCTTCCTCCATGCTCAACTAACATCCCAAACTTGTTTCTTGTTAAAACTTGAACGAATGTAAAACTTAGAGCCACCAGGAGTTTCAGAAACTCTTCTGGATACTAATCTCTGGACAATTTCTCATACAGATTTCCAATATGCTCCTATCTGTGGGAAAAAAACACGTCTAAACCTAGCATATATAATGAAAATTATAACAGTAACTATCTGGTATTGAATGTCTTGGAAACAGCGCCAGCTTGAATAGAACAGTCTTTGCTGGATTCTATCACCCAGACCAGTTGCTGGCTTCCAAGAAATATGTGGCAAATATTTACTGAATGAGTGAATTATAGTCAATGAACCTATGACCAACTGTGTTTCATGTCATAGAGATTCCAGATGCTTCATACTCTGACGCCTTAACAAATGTTTACAAGAATGGATAGTCTGAAAGAATTGTGTGAAAAAAAGGTACTTGAGCTTTTGCTCTGCCCTACATGCAGGAGACATAAAGCAAACACTGAGTGATCTTTGTGGAAAGGATTATTCATGTAGAATTAGTTGCCCCATGAGGGTTGCACCATAGACCTAGGCTCACCTTGTGAATGAATAGTTGGCTACCGTAGAGAGAGAAGATAAGAAAAGCTTTGAGGTTCTGCCAGTTTTCCCACTAATGCCCGGCCATCACCTACTGTGTAACACACAATTGGCCTTGGAGATGTGGAATGAGAGCAGTTCTAATTATGGCCAGGCTAATGATGGCCAAAATAATTATTCCGGAACCTTTTGCATTATGTGGTTTCCATTTTATGGTTTTAAGAAAAGAGAATGCTACGTTCACCATGGTCAAGTCCAAGTCCTTCAAGATGATAGAAACAAAACGCAATTTGACTTGAAAGAATTCCGTTCAGCAGCTCCATGTGCCGCAATCCTTCCAGGCCCCTCACCTTTCCCTTTCCACCATGGACTCTCTGTGAAACACATCGGCCAACCATCAAGTTGTATTCATCTTCTTGAAGATACTGTTCTGACTTTCCTCATTTCCTCCCAGAATATTACCCAGCCAATTTCCTCTGTTTATCAGATTCCCACTATTTTATATTTCTTATGTGTCTTGCCAGCCTCCTAATAAGGTGCATGCTCTAAGCCCACACCCCTTAGACAAACTCCTACAAGTTAAGATTCCTTC